TGTTTCTTAGGCTTGTGCTTGTTTCTTGTGCTTGATCCTTTGGTTTTGCTCTTTCGCTTGTATGGGTGTGTGTTTACCTTCCTATCAGATCCTCTATACAATATGTAATAATACTACGTGTACGTGTGAATATGTGTATGGATCGTATAGAGTACTTACGTGTATGAATGCGTGCCGTTGTTTGTACTGGTTGGTGTCTGATACCAGTTGCGCAATATGTGCATCCGAATTTGAACGAGTGGTATGGCCCACCCAACAAATCAATACAACCGAGATTTTCTCGGCAGTATACAGATTTAAATCAAGTTTTTCTTTGCAGTATTAAGATTTAAGCCAAGATTTAAACCAAGTTCTATTCACGTCTCTGCCCCCGAACATTTACCACACCGCAACCCAACTAAGTCTTTGTCTTAACAGAAGGTAAACCAGGTTTTTCCCCTCCTTGTGCGCCAGATTTTAATACACAAGGTGTTCTCAACCAAAACCAAAGAGCAGTGGGTGTATGGCGAACGCCTGCTCCATCCTGAGGACACGGTGCACGACTTCGACCGCCAATTCATGCGCAATGAGCTATTGCTGGGGGGGGCCAAACGCAGTTATTTGATAGGCGATATCATGGGCAAATGCGCCGTTATGCATGTGACGACGTTTATGAAGAAGGTATGTAGGTAGTACGCTTATGAATGTATGTAAGTAGTTCGTTTATGAAGGTGTGTAGGTAGTTCGTTTATGAAGGTGTGTAGGTAGTTCGTTTATGAAAGTGTGTAGGTAGTGCGTTTGTGGAGAAAGTATGTAAATAGTACGTTTATGAAGAAGGTGAGTAGGTAGTACATTTATGAAGGTGTGTAGGTAGTACGTTTATGAAGGTGTGTAGGTAGTACGTTTATGAAGGTGTGTAGGTAGTACGTTTATGGTGTATAGGTAGTTTGTTTATGAAGGTGTGTAGGTAGTGCGTTTGTAGAGAAAGTATGTAAGTAGTACGTTTATGAAAAAGGTGAAATGATGGTGTGTAGGTAGTACGTTTATGAAGGTGTGTAGGTAGTTCGTTTATGAAAGTGTGTAGGTAGTGCGTTTGTGGAGAAAGTATGTAAGTAGTACGTTTATGAAGAAGGTGTGTAGGTAGTACGTTTATGAAGGTGTGGAGGTAGTACGTTTATGAAGGTGTGTAGGTAGTACGTTTATGAAAGTGTGTAGGTAGTGCGTTTGTGGAGAAGGTGTGTATGTAGTACGTTTATGAAGAAGGCGCGTAGGTAGTTCGTTCATGAAGGTGTGCAGGTAGTATGTTTATGAAGAAGGTGTGTATATAGAACGTTTATGGAGCATGTCTGTGGTTAATATGTTTGTACATCAAGTGAGTAGATGATACTTTCATGCAGCAGGTGTATTGGTTGTTTGTGTGTGTGTGTGTTTGTGGGTGTGTGTGTGTGCGTGTGTGTGCGTGTGTGTGTGTTGTGTTTGTGGTGTGTGTGTGTGCGTGTGTGTGTCGTGTGTGTGTGTGTGTGTTGTGGTGTGTGTGTGTTGTGTGTGTGCGTGTGTGTGTGTGTGTTACTAAACTCATCTTGTACATCTTAGGACAGCACAGTCTCTGACTGACTTGTCGTTCTCCTACTCGTCTACCCGTTCCTCAGCTGCCGCTGGGGGTCAAAGAAGAAGATGTATGGGTTGTTAAATGGGCATACGATACCAAAAGCAAACGCTTTCGCTTGGCCGATAGTCTCCCGAGAGTCACTACTTCCAACACCTCTGGCGGTTACCGTTTGGAACCACGTCCTGCTATTGTGAAGATGCCTAAGGCCGACAAACCCTCTATATACCGCGAAGGCTGGCAGCACGGCATAGACTTCGGACTGGTATGTTTAGGTGTATGTTTGTGTATGTGTATGTGTATGTGTGTGTATTTTATGTGTATATGTGTGTATGTGTATGTTGTGTATGTGTATGTTGTGTATGTGTATGTGTATGTGTACGTGTATGTGTATGTGTATGCGAATGTGTATTTTTATTTGTATGTTTGTGTGTATCTATATCTATATCTATGTCTATGTCTATGTCTATGTCTATGTCTATGTCTATGTCTATGTCTATGTCTATGTCTATGTCTATGTCTATGTCTATGTCTATGTCTATGTCTATGTCTATGTCTATGTCTATGTCTATGTCTAATGTCTATGTCTATGTCTATGTCTATGTCTATGTCTATGTCTATGTCTATGTCTATGCCCATGTCTCATGCCTATTGTCCATGTCTAT